ATGTGGGCAAAAGTGAGCAAACCACTGCCAATAGAATTGCCTCCGGAGTGTAACACAGACTGCCTAACAGCAGGTACCGCGGAAGGCGCAAAGGACTCCTCAGCCGAGGACACGAGCCCGGTGAGTATTCCTCTGAATATTCCTTTCTGCAGCGCGAGTTGAACAGAGCGAGGTGGAGGAGGAAGCAGAGCAGAGGCTGTTTTCAAAGGAAAATAAAGTAAATTTTACAAATGACCGACGCAGCGAAAACTTTTCGACCCAAGTCCTCCAAAGTGTGGGAGCTCTTCACAAAGATAAAAACTGAGAAACATGCAGCTTTGAAAAGGGACGACACGACACAAGAGAACCACGGAGATAAACATAAACATGTCAAAGTCATGAGGAGGAGGAGGAAGGAGCTGCAGCTGATACAACTCTTCATGTGTTGCAGGTGAGTCTCTACAATTTAACACATTGTTCTGTTTCAAGAGAGAAAACGTAACGTCAGTCTGTCTGAAGATGAAGCTGTTTGTTTGTTTGTTTGTTTGTTTATCTGATTAATGACGGTGATAGAGAACGTGTGTGTTACTTTTTATTTAATTTAATTGGTACAAGCAGTGTTTAAATGTGATTTATAAATAAATCTAACACAAAGAGAATGATTTAATGATTAAGCTTCAACTTTTAATTTGCTGGCAAAGTCTGAAGACACTGCAGGTATGGCAGGATGAATTGCATTTAAACAGGAATTAAAGTAATTTATTACATCTACTCAAATGGGTGTAATGAAGTATTTTATACGTGTGTGTGTTTAATTGCTCTTTTAGCTACTTTTACCTGAACCTAACACTGCAAGTGAAACAAGGCATTTCTTGAGTTGCTGTAAATTATGATATAAAACATATTTACTGTCTCATTCCAGAAAACAACAACAACAACAACATCCTTCATGATGGACAGACATCATGGACACCACAGCAGCAGCTGTCTTCACTGAAACATCCTGAACATGATCGTCACTGACATGAGGCCTCTGTCCATGGTTGAAGACGAAGGCTTCACTACAATAATCCACACTTTTAATCCAGGTTACAATAATCCACACTTTTAATCCAGGTTACAATAATCCACACTTTTAATCCAGGTTACAATAATCCACACTTTTAATCCAGGTTACAATATTCCACACTTTTAATCCAGGTTACAATAATCCACACTTTTAATCCAGGTTACACTTCCCTCATGGACACATTTTACAAAGTAGCTACATATTGTGCAGGTATAAAGATACATTTCTATATATATTTGTGTACATAATTTTTTTTAAGCTATTTGACTAACTTTTATTTTTTATTATTCAATATTTTACTAACAGAATAGTCAAATAGCAACCTGTTTTTTGTGTGAATTGCTATGTCAGTCAAATGTTAAATTTTGGAATAAAGGGGTGGAAATTAAAACGTTTTTGTTTTTTTTTGCCGATTCATCGATTAATCAAAAAAATAATCAGCCGATGAATCGATTATTGAAATAATCGTTAGTTGCAGCCCAAACCCACTCTTTACTTCCTTTTCTGATTGACTGGTCTGGATCCTGAGCTGTTTCCTGTATCAATCAACTGATTTGTTCCTGAATTGACCTGTTGATCTGTTCCTGTACTCATCAGCTGGGTTGGTTCCTATGTCAATCAGGTGGTACGGGACGCTCTGAGGGATGACAGGAAGGTGATGACGAAGAGTTCAGCTGTTGATTTGGTGACTCAAACCGATGAGAAGGTGGAGCAGCTCATCATCCAGTCTGTAATGGAGAAGTTCCCCAAACACAGGTACAAAGCACCACCTTTCTCTGTCAATGGTAGACCCTTGCAGAGTCAGGCTCCTCAGTGGTCTTATCTGTAATTAATCCATAGACTACATCCTAGGCACCTTTGGTGATTCCATTTGTAGGCCACTCTATATTTGCCTTCAAAGACCCCTCTGTGGACTCCTCTTTGGGTCTGTCTCAGAGTCAGAGTTTCTTTATTGTCGTTCCACCACATGTGGTACATGTGGTGGAACGACAGTATGTACACAGAGTCCCAGTTCAATCCACAGTAAAATGTAAAAGAAAACAGTAATAAGATCTAAGATATGAATAAGAAAAACATGAACTAGAAATATGCTAAGCTAGGGGTGGGCGATATGGCTCAAACATACAGGTCCTTCTCAAAAAATTTGCATATTGTGATAAAGGTCATTATTTTCCATAATGTAATGATAAAAATGAAACTTTCATATATTTCAGATTCATTGCACACCAACTGAAATATTTCAGGTCTTTAATTGTTTTAATACTGATGATTATGGCATACAGCTCATGAAAACCCAAAATGCCTGTCCCAAAAAATGAGCATAT